ATCAACCAGATCTGAGCATGATGGATTTCCGGATTCTGGTAATCAGAGGTTTACATGGTGGAAGGAGCTACAAGATTACCCCCACAGCTGCTGCACCTCAAATATCAAGATTGAATCTGTCTTTGGGACACTTCCCAGTCAAAGTTGACAAACGGTGTGCTTTTAAAGTTCACCTGCAGCGAGTGTTGACTTCATACAAGTGTGGACTGTGTGGAGTCCACATGTGCCCCAGCCCTTGTTTTGAGAAGTACCACACCCTCCAAGACTATTTGTATGATGACCCTGAATATGGAGCAGCAACCCCACGTCTGAAACCTCAGAATCCTGGCAGGCCTTTTGCAAGAGGAAGACTTAGGCAGATGAGGCAGTGAACTCTCCTATAAGTAGCGGAACATTGACCGTTGGTTGTCAAAAACTGTTCACTTATTGCTGTTGTTGTGACACACCATTGCCAACAGCATACTAACATTGTAGCACTGGTATGTCCAACTCCATGCTTATAAGAGATATTATTTGGTGTTTCCTTGTTCAAAAAATTATGTTTTCTGATTGTTTATTCTACAAATGTATGTACCCATAATTCATGGGATTATGGACATGACTGTTTCTTTTGATTGGTTAATCATTAACCTGCAGATATTTGAAAAACTTGGGGAAGGCAGTTATGCTCAGAAAGGTTGTTTGGATCAGTCTGGTAAAAAATAATACCTTATGAGATTTAAGTTGCTGTTAAATCCTCAGTTGATTAATTTTTGAAATGATTTATAGAATTAAAATTTACGATGAAAATTGCCTTACTGTTTGAGGGCCGTAAGAAGCTTTTTTTAGATCAATATAACAAATATTTGTGATTTATCTTAAAGGTCATTTCTTTAGCTTAACAAAAATGACTATTGTTATTATTTGACAGTTTTTTTTGGTTTCAGAGCTGAATTCTTGTGAACGAAGGATTTTTTTAGTGTATTTTTACTGTCATATGTCAACTTTGAGGATAAAGTGAGAAACTTACATAACAAGGGACAGGCATACTTTGTTGGTTCACTGTGTAGAAAATTCTCTAGCTTCAAAATGAGCTATGATATATGAAAATTGACTAAATGTAGCTCAACTTACAACCATTTATTTACGTTTTAACCCTTTTCCTCCATGGGAGGAAAAGGGTTAAAACAGCGGGCAAACGTGCGCTGTGTTTTAATCGCACGCACAAGTAAAATGATTCGCTGGTTTCCATCAGCCTCCGACCACATAGTCACTATCGGAAGATGAGACGATCTCATTGGCAAACACGAATTCTAAGCTTATCGCGTGAAACTCAAGAAGAAGAACAAAATAATAACAGCTCTCCAACAAGGCGAACGTCATCAGATTGAGTTAACTGTTGGAAAATAGGACCAGCCTTTAAAAGCCATATCGCTCCGAACTCTTGTAGCAAGCGTAATGTATGTGCGCTATTGCCAATTCACCTGTTTTCCACATTGAAGTCTCATTATCTTAGGCTATTTGACAAAGTTTAAAGACATAAGATGCGTTCTATTTATATGTAATTTTCTCTTTGGCCATTCACAGGCAAGATTGGGTTTTTCATATTTCTTGAAATGCAACTCATTAGCACCGTGTATAAAGATTTCGTATTAAAGCTCGTTATTTTCGTCCTCTATTATTTTAAAACAATATTCACAGCGATCAAAATTAACCCCATTCGCTTGGCTGAGATTTTAGCCTGGCCTCTAATTGTTTACAAATATGGAGTAATTTTCTGTGCATTTTTTGAGTCACTCCATTAAAAATTCACAACTTGATATTATTTGACGCCGAAATGCGAGCTTCTCGTTTGGTTTTGTTTGCACCCCACGGCAAAACCGTTTTTACTGCGATCACGTTGGGTGCTCACATTTTAATAAAAAGCAACATAAAACGGCATTATTGGGAAAGGAAATGCGGGAAAGACCGCCCATTAAATAATTATTCACAGTTTGCCTTCTGTTTTTCTCTAAAAGGTGCTCTTGTAAAATAAACATGAGTGTTCTCACGCGACAATCATTCTTAATGCTTAAGCAGTGAAGAGTTTTTTTTTTCACATTTCAGAGAGTGGTTTCGATTGATGTTGGTCATTTCAAGTTCTCTTTAGAGTTCCTTTTCGGCGAATTGACGCGCACGCAAATCATGACTTGTGCCAAAATACCACACAAAACCAAACAAACGTAAATTATTTTCAATATGTTGAAAATAATATATATATATATATATATATATGAGATGCTACCATAGTAACTTAAAACAAGCTGATGTTATCAATCTTCGCTCTACTTTTCATGTGTGATCTCGATTTTCTATTTTCCGCGTTTGTTATCACTTTGTGAACCATTTGTTATAATATTTTATTGTTATATCGCTTATAACACATGTGTTTCTTTATGTGAGCAAAAACTTTGATCGTACACAGTTTATCTCTGTTTTGAGGAATCTTCAATTGATATATTTGAGTTTTTTACTAAAAGATAAACCAATGCAATAGCTTGTGATTTTAGAATGATTTTAAAGCTATAAGCTCTGATGACCTTGAATACTTATAATAACGATAATGATTGTAATTATGATATGGCAAAAGTATATCCTTTTCGAGCCGGCTTTGATATCCGGTTAAAGAGACCATCTTAAGATGCTCATCTAATAAGAAATATATCATTCTTAAATGTGTACATTGAGACTTGCCATTCAAATTAACGGAAATGATTCTCCTTTAAAACGTTGAAATATTTGATGTTTGTGACTACCTGTGAAGTCTGTTTTGAAGTTTTTTTTATCTCCATTCATTGGCACAGTGTTCTCTGGATAGCTTGAATGTTTTTTACTGCACATCGAGGCATGGATTTGACGCAGTTTTTTCTGCAGTTTCCTTTTTCTTTGCTCACAACGATTAATAATTGACATGTCTTTTAGACTTGTGCTTGACGTTATGATTCCCATCAATTTTATCCACTGTCAAGGAGAAGAGGAAGTATCTGAATTCCACTACCGAATATTAAAAGGTATCACTTGGTTGTTAACGAGAATGAGAGTAACTTCCAGAGGAACCACTATGGCACCTGGTGAAACAAATTAAGTATAACATTGCCCCATTACGATAAATTTTTCATCTTAGTTTCTTTGAAGAGTCTTAGTTTAAATAATAAATAATCCTTAAAGTTCCACATCACTACATTCACATTGCTCCTTTTTCCCCATACGTTTAATTCCTTGACAACAAAGGTTGCAGTTATCATGTTACACGAAGATAGTTGTATGGCCTTGTTTTCGTTGTTTCTTTTTCACCTCTAAGGGCAAACGTCGTAAAATTTTATTTACAAAAAATGTGCGCCTCGAATTTTGAAAGTGTTAAATTGTGGTCTTCTTGTCTCAACGCCAATCACCTAACGAAGGTTTCTGAAAATAAAAATTTAAAAGCATATTAACAAGAGATGAAAATGTCTAGTTCTTATGTTCTATACCCAACTGCCTGAGAACAAAACTACAAAAAAAAAATTATCAAAAGAAATTAGGGCTTTGTTTAATTTGACCATTTTTAGGTTTTAAGGGGGGCATTCGATCATTTGTGTCCGCTGAGTATGAAACCATCATTAAAACTTTTGTCTCTAATTGGCTACCTATGAGAAAGTTAACTGCATTTTTTTACCCCCTGTAAGCTTCTTTTTGTCGAAATAGGTGTTCGTGACTAACCTGACATTGTCGATGTGTCACTAAACCCAATGATACCAGACTGAATGGTACGACCAACTGTTTCACGTTATGAATGAAAAAAACTTACTACTCCTTACCTCGCCGGCGGTCCAGACTGTTTTTGTGGCGTTTGAATGTTATCTTTATATTTATATTCATATATATCGAGTTCCAAAACTCATCTAATCAGTTTGAAGGGCGTTTCTTGATCATCGTTGACAACTGAACACGCAACAACTTGCGAGAGACTGGTAATAAGAGCGAAGCGTGAGGGACCGTGGGAAGACAAAGAATATGTGAACCCTTCCACCTTTGCGCGCCCATGGTTTTATAAGTAGAGAGAGGACTTTGTACATCGCAGGTGTTGTGGCAATTTTTTGAAAAAGAGATGACTGCTGAAAAACAAGACGAACCTCCATTTTATGTGAAAGAGGAATGCCTTATTAGTAATACTATTGGTATTATTATTATTATTATTATTATTATTATTATCATCATCATTGGTAAAAGAGTTGAACTGCGAGGTTACGGAGCAGTAAAAACACATTGAGTCCAGAGATGGAAGTTTTCAATTTTTATTTAAGTAAATTTGTATTTCACTCGCACTAAGTAACGGGCTCCTGACTTTCGCTACATGTTAAATTTCACTCAAAATTATTGAGTGACATGCTACATACAGCAGCAGTACTACTGATGTTGTCTCGGTCTTCTTGTCAACGATTGATATGTATTTAAAACAAACTACGATCAAGTGCCGAGAGAAATTTTAAAAGCTTGCGCCATCTTTTCGACCAATCAGAGGTAAAACTTCAACTAAACGCGTCTTGGTCACTTACGCTTTCCCGCGCTTCAGGTAGTTACCGCTTTTTTCACTTTAAGTTCTCATTAAATTGTTATATTTTTCTTTGATCTAACGAGCTGTGGTAATACACCACTCTTTTGCTACACTAAAAACTCACTGAAAACGTTCTTTAAGACAGGAAGTACATTTTTTAAATATCTTATAGTTACATTCTCCTTCTTTTACGTGACTATTATTGCATAAAAAATGCGTCGTGTAAAAACATACTTATTATTACTTAATCACCACAGTTTCACGTTTCCTGCGTAAATCCATTGGTTAGTTTAAATACAGATGAAAGAAATACTACTAATAACGTGAGTCATTTACTACTTAAATTCAATCAAACTTTTCTGCAGAGAAAGAATGAAAAAATGACAACATGACACAGATTGTGTACTTAATAAACCGTTGGACAAAAATCAGTTATGAAATTTTTTGTGTTGATATCTTATAGTACCTACATAGTTTGTTACTTGCAGAGAATAACGGGAACTGGTAAGAATTTCTGAAGCGGTTACAACGCTGAAAGATTCCCATTATCTAAACCTCTAAAAGATAGATAATATGAAGTATTGATACGGTTGTTCTGTCATTTAACAGCCTGTTGATCTACTCTCGAACCCAGTCCTTCATAAAGCGCAATTTTATCTACACTGTTGAGGCTTAAAATTCTTCCGAGACTCCAGCTTTCAGAGGAGTAGACCAAGTCACTATCAGGCTACATCGATGCCGATGAGAAAAGCTGTCATGTAAAGAAAAAGGCAAAGCGGCAGCGAATCGACCAGAAGTGAAACTCCATTATGGGCCTTCTTGCTTTCGCTCACTGCTACACCTTTGGTGCTTTTACCTGGATCATTTACATTGTCGCCATCCCCATTGCCTGCACCAACATCTCCACCGCTACTGACGTTATTGTCGTCGTCTCTGGTGTTGTTTTTCTGCGCGGTGACATCTGTTCCATTGGAAACTGTTCTGTTCACATGTGAAGATTCCGTTGAGTTGATATGCTTCTTTACTGCTGCGGTGGAAATTTTTAATACTCATTAACTTTTGATGCGCTGTTAATATGATGATTGTGTTATTAAAAAAGTTGATTTTGAAGATCATAGTGGGGTGGTGTAAAGCAAAATTGGTTTATTCAAATATAAGCGATTATCTTTTAGCTGCCTAGAATAAGGCAATTAGCTAAATGTATTTTCAACATTTATCGGAGATGAATTTGTCTCAGCAACCTCTACATTAGGCACACCCTTCTCTCAATGATGACGATGAAAGTGAAAAGTTAAATCAATACGAAATTTACTCAAAATCAAACAAAATGTAAAACAATAAAGTCAAGAAAAAGACCAATTTTCCCTCCTCAAGGGGTCTTTGATAGCGGGCCACTTTCTTTGAGGTAGGAAGCACATTTTTTGAATAAAATAAACATGTTTGCGATGGTATTTGAATTTGTCCTTGGCCAAACATAAACGACTCCACAAGATCACTTTCTCCAGGTATCGAAAACATTTCCATTCGTCCAGTGTTCTCAAAATTACCCTCGAAACAGCCAAACAATTTTCCTCCACGGCCAAAAATGACACAAAACCCACTTTGCAGCACACTTGCAACTGCTCAATCTTCTAGCATCGAAAGACCCCCTTCAAGAGTAACGCACAACGATGTTTACAATGAAATGACTGCAACTAAACCACCAAAGAGAAAACTCAGCCATCTTTCGTAGAAAAATCATTGTTCAATAAAAACACCGCTTAACATTGCACATCAATTAAACACAATGTCACACGAGGCGACAAAGCTTCCTAAGAACCACACAAAATCGACTATAGTTAATTTCAATCAGACACTCATCTAGAGATAGCACCGAGCAAACCAATCCAGAAAAATATAATCGGCACACTCAACAAATCATCAATCTTGCAACACAGCTTGCCGTTAAAGAATTGCTCAAATCAACATGTTTGGTGCAGCTCATCAACACCTCAAGCAACATTTGATTCAAAATTTTTCCAATCACTCTCGTCGTGAAGGAACAATAACAAGGATTGTGCTACGGTGCACAGAACTCCACTTCCTCTCGAACAACTCTCAACCATTTTCACAGCACGAGTAACATGTTTACTATAGGTTATCTGATGTCGTTCATCTGCCCAATAGTATCGCATTTCTCTCAAAGCGTGGTAAAATACGCGTTAAAAACACAGAAAAGCCAACATTTCACATTCTAAATGATGATTCTAGTCTACGAACCCGGGTTAATTCATTGAAATTTGAACACCTCTCAAACCAAAGAACCAAAAAACCGACGCTCAGATTGGTGCGAGATACATACCCTAAACGATCTGATTAATGCTAGCAACATACCACTCTATACGCTAACAAAGAGTTATTTATTTATTTTTTTAAGTAACTTAAGAAGGGCAAACCGGCGGCGAAACGACTGGAGGTGAAACTCCATTATGAGCCTTCTTGCTTTTGCTTCCTGCTACTCATTTGGTGCTTTTACCTGGATCATTTACAATGTCGTCGCTCCCATTGCCTGCTCCTACATCTCCACCGCTACTGACGTTATTGTCGTCGTCTCTGGTGTTGTTTTTCTGTGCGGTGACATCTGTTCCATTGGAAACTGTTCTGTTCACATGTGGAGATACCGTTGAGTTGATATACTTCTTTACTGCTGCGGTGGAAAATTTTTTATACCCATTAACTTTTGATGCGCTGTTAATATGGTGATTGTGTTATTAAAAAAGTTGATTTTGAAGATCATAGTGGGGTAGTGAAAAGCAAAATTGGTTAATTTCATATAAGCGATTATCTTTTAGCTGCTTAGGACAAGCAATTAGCTAAATGTATTTTCAACATTTATCAGAGATGAATACGTCCCAGCAACCTGTACAGTAACCACACCCTTCTCTCAATGACGATAGTAAAGATAAGTGACATAGCAAAGTTGTTCTCTTTTTATCTCTCGGCGATAGGTTTGAAAAATTAGAACTTTCACAGAAGGCAATCATGACGTTAGCGAAAACCAGAAAAGCAGCCTTTTATAATTTGTCTGCGAGGGCATGTGAGTGAGTTGAACAGATTAGTGTCAAAAAGAAGTCTTTGTTAAATAGTCCTTACCGGTAGATGTTGGTGTTGGCGACGAACAGATTTCTGAGTCGTCGTCAGAATTTCAATATTCTGTAGCCATGACTCTTTCTGTTACCATAAAAGGTAGAGAACTATTAAGAAAAAGAATGGGTGTAGTATGATTTAAGTGTCTTACGTATTTCGCAGCTCCCTCCTTCGTACCCAATCCCTGTGCAGTCACACTCGGAGTATTTGATATGATCAACGCATCGACCTCCATTGGAACATCTTTGAGTCCGTTCTGCGCATGCTCCAGTGCAGTTGTCCACCGCCCCTCTTGGAGGAGTTCGAAGTTTCGCTTGCTCTAAGCGACCATTTGGAATTCGGTTGAATCTGATGTTGCCAATACATCCTTTGAAGCTTAAGGGATTCCCTCTGTTATGACATGAATCCAGTCGTTAAAAAAAGTTTTACAAATCATAGTTGAAGATAGAGTGTGAAGTATGGTGAACTTTTCGCTGGGTTGTCCAATAAAGAAAGATATCAACCTTTGTCTCGAGTGTTAAACAAGGACAAAACTTTATTCCCCGAACAAAAAGGAACCTAAGATCCTACTGTGCCCTCCCAAATGAGATACAGAGATCTCGTAAGTAAACTGTGTCATGAAAGGTTCAAATGTGACAAGTACCCCGCATACTACGAGGATCAACAATGTGAAAAGCGTCCCGTTTGTAGATAGACGGAGAAAGAACTCAGGAGTCTTTTGTTCTCGTTCGTCGATTAGTAGAAGATATTTTGTGTCCAATTGTCAATTCTATAGATCTGAGACTCAAATTTTCTCGGAGATGGATTTTTATTTCGTGACAATCATTTGACATCTTTCTATGATTTAAAAGCTATGATTGGAAATGATCTCTCGCTGAGTTGACTGGGAGAGTCGTGTGCACGGATTAATAATTCATATGAGCGTGAATTAAAAAAAACAAAGCGCGGACGCCATAATCATTCATTTATGAAGGTTAAACAAATAAAAGTTTTATAACGTTTAAACGATTTACGACTGAAACACGACAGTGAAATAGTAAATAAACTATGCAACTGAAAAATACATGACACAGTCTCCCTTCCTTCCACTCAGAAAAGAAGCTTACGAAAGGAAAGTAGTGGGTGAATAAATGAAGTATTGCAACGATTCTCTGAGAAGCAACTGTATTGTAAGCTGATATTTTCACTGAGCGTTTGAGGGCACGTCATTTTGTCAACCCTCGACCCTGACCTAGTTCTAGTTCTAGTAACCGTCAGCAAACTCGAGTGCGTATATAGAAGCCATTAGTTGACGCATTTCTACGAAGACAAAGTCATATCTCAACAATAATTAGTAGATACATTACCGGTAGAATTCGTTGAAAAAACTTGGATAGGACATTTCAGACCATTTAAATCCCTTTCTAAAAGGAAGACCAGCGATTAGGAGAGACTCGATGTTTTGGTGGCTAGTGGTAGACGGATTATACTCTGTGTATGGAATTGGATCTGCGCTGTATACGTTTCCGTCAGTTGAATTAACAAAAAAACGTATTTCGCTCCGAAACAACTCAATTTTAACTTCATGCCACCCCGAGTCGGCGAAATCCACTTTATCCTCAATAAACCGCTTTTGGATAGAAACCATGTTTTGTCCCATCTTAACGCGGAGTCGAAGTTCCCCCTTTATCAGGAATAAATCCATGTGCTGGCCGTGTGTTTTCTCCTCTTGATAAAACATCATCATTTTAGATTTGCTCCCAGTTTTGAAATAGAATTGCAGAGTGGCATTGGCAAGCCAATTCCACGGTTCATATTCGGCATGCGACATTACTTCGCCGAAGAAATAATATCCTCCACTTTCTCCTGCTGCCCGACTTACTGAGGGAGACATTGAACTCAACACATAGGTAAGGCTGAAGAAAATACCTCGCACTAACATGGCTGCAACCTAAGCTTACCAACGTCAAAATGGCTGTCTTTTTTATGTCCAGAGGGTTGAAGCTAGCTTCTCTTTACATTATGAAGCTTTAAAGCAGCGGGCAAACGTGCGCTGTGTTTTAATCGCACGCACAAATAAAATGATTCGCAGGTTCCCATCGGCCGCCGACCGCATAGTCACTATCGCAAGATGAGACGAGCTCATTGGCAAACACGAATTCTGAGTTTATCGCGTGAAACTCAAGAAGAAGAACAAAATAATAACAGCTCTCCACCAAGGCAAACGTCATCAGATTGAGTTAACTGTTGGAAATATAACCAGCTCTTAAAAGTCATATCGCTCTGAACCCTTGTAGCAAGCGTAATAAATGTGCGCTATTGCCAATTCACCTGTTTTCCACATTGAAGTCTCATTACCTTGGGTTATTCGACAAAGTTTAAAGAGATAAGATGTGTTCTATTTAGATGTAATTTTCTCTTTGGCCACTCACAGGCAAGATTGGGTTTTTCATATTTCTTGAAATGCAACTCATTAGCACCGTGTATAAAGATTTCGTATTAGAGCTCGTTATTTTCATCCTCTACTATTTTAAAACAATATCCTCAGCGATAAAAATTAACCCCATTCGCTTGGGTAAGATTTTAGCCTGGCCTTTAATTGTTTACAAAATATGGAGTATTTATCTATTCATTTTTTGAGTCACTCCATTAAAAATTTACAACTTGATATTATTTGACGCCAAAATGCGAGCGTCTCGTTTGGTTTTGTTTCCACCCCACAGCAAAACCGTTTTTACTGCGATCACGTTGGGTGCTCACATTTTAATAAAAAGCAACATAAAACGGAATTATGGTAAAAGAAAATGCAGGAAAGACCGCCCGTCAAATAATTATTCACAGTTTGCCTTCTGTTTTTCTCTAAAAGTTGCTCTTGTAAAATAAACATGAGTGTTCTCACGCGACAATCATTCTTAATGCTTTTGCGGTGAAGAGTTTTTTTTTCACATTTCAGAGAGTGGTTTCGATTGATGTTGGTCATTTCAAGTTCTCTTTAGAGTTTCTTTCCGGCGAATTGACGCGCACGCAAATCATGGCTTGTACCAAAATACCACACAAAACCAAACAAACGTAAATTATTTTCAATATATTCGCGTTAAAGGGAGATACTGCCATGGTAACTTAAAACAAGATGATGTTATCTCTTTTAGCTCTGCTTTTCATGTGTGATCTCCTCGATTTTCTATTTTCTGCGTTTGTTATCACTTTGTGAACCATTTATTATAATATTTTATTGTTATATCGCTTATAACACGTGTTTCATTGTATAAGCGAAATATTTAATCAAACACAGTTTAACCCTGTTTAGAGGAGTCTTCAATTGATATATTTGAGTTTTTTGACAAACTGGTAAACCAATACAATAGCTAGTTATTTGAGAACGATTTTAAAGCTATAAGCTCTGATGACCTTGAATACTTATAATAACGATAATGATTGTAATTATGATATGGCAAAAGTATATCCTTTTCGAGCCGGCGCTGATCTCCTATTAAAGAGACCATCTTAAGATGCCCAACTAGAAAGAAATATATCATTCGATTTGTAGTATCAGTTCCTAAATGTGTACATTGAGACTTGCCATTCAAATTAACGGAAATGATTCTCATTAAAATATTTTATGTTTGTGACTATTTGTGAAGTCTGTTTTAAAGTTTTATTACACCCATTTTGAAATCACTGGTGGTCCCTGTAATCTGATTGGCTCTAATTGGTGCGATTTATTCTTGAATCGCACCATTTTTTGCTTTAAATCGCATCTTTTTCCCAGCCAATGAGAAGGCTACACTAAAAACCACACAACCAATCAGATTTCAAGGTTTACTGAAAATAACCAATCAAATTGCAGGAAAATGAAATACAATGAGTATCACGAGGCAAATTCTGCTGTTTCCAAAACTCTTATTTTTTCCCCCCAAAGAATGGATGAATTTAATTTAAACCGACTCAGTACTGCATTGAACTGACCAAGTCTTGTACTTGGGCGATTCAAAATGGATGTAATAAAGTGGTAATTGAACCTCGTGTTGTGAAATTTTGGTCTGAAATCATACTTATGATTTCAAATCACGCGTATGATTTTAGCCCAAATTGCACTCCACTCAGTTCAATTAACATTATTTATCACCTACTTTCATTGGCTCAGTGTTCTCTGGATAGCTTGGATGATTTTAGGTGCACATCGAGGCATGGATTTGACGCAACTTTTTGCAGTTTCCTTTTTCTTTGCTCACAACGAGTAATAACTGATATGCCTTTCAGAATTTTGCTTGACGTTATAATTCTCATCAATTTTATCCACTGTCAAGGGTGTAGAGAAAGTGTCTGAACTCCACTACTGAATATTGAAAGGTATCACTTGGTTGTTAACGAGAATGAGAGTATCTCCCATAGGGATCCACTGTGACACCTGGTAAATTAAATTAAGATTTCTCCATTAGAATAAATTTTTCACCCTAGTCTCTCTGAAGAGTCTTGGTTTAAATATTAAATAATCCTCAAAGTTTCACATCACTACATTCACATTGCTCCTTTTCCCCCATACGTTTAATTCCTTGACAACGAAGGTTGCAGTTATCATGCTTACGCGAAGACAGTTGTTTGGCCTTGTTTTCGTTTTTTCTTTTCCACTTGCAACGGCACCCATTATTTATCGATTTTTGAAAGTTTTAAATTGTGGTCTTCTTGTCTCATCGCTAATCACCGCATGAAGGTTTCTGAAAATAAAAATTTAAAAGCAAATTAACAAGAAATCAAAATGTCTAGTTCTTATGTTCTATACCCAACTGCCTGAGAACAAAACTACACAAAAAATAATTACCAAAAGAAATTAGAGCTTTGATTAATTTGACCATTTTTAGGTTTTAAGGGGGGCATTCGATCATTTTTGTCCACTGAATATGAAACCATCGTTAAAACTTTTGTCTCTAATTGGCTACTTATGGGAAAGCTAATTGCATTTATTTACCCTGTGTCAGCTTAATTTTTTGTTGAAATAGATGCTCGTGACTAACCTGATATTGTCGATATGTCACCAAACCCAATAATACCAGACTGAATGGTACGACTAATTGTTTCACGTTAAGAATGAAAAAAACTAACAACTTCTTACCTCACTGGCAGTCCAGACTCTGTTTTTTCTGGGGTTTGAATGTTATCTGTTATCTATTATATTCATATTCAGATATATCGAGTCCCAAAACTCATCTAATCAGTTTGAAGGGCGTTTCTTGATCATCCTTAACGACTGAGCACGCAATAACTTGCGAGAGACTGGTAACAAGAGCGAAGCATGAAGGAGCGTGGGAAGACAAAGAATATGTGAACCCTTCCCCTTTTGCGCGCCCATAGTTTTATAAGTAGAGAGAGGACTTTGTACATCGCAGGTGTTGTCAATATTATTACTATTATTATTATCATTCGTAAAAAAATTTAACTGCGAGGTTACGGAGCAGTAAAAACACAATGAGTCAAGAGATGGAAGTTTTCAATTTTTATTTAAGTAAATCTGTGTATCACTCGCATTAAGTAATGGGCTCCTGACTTGCACTACATGTTAAATTTCACTCAAAATTATTGATTGACATGCTACATACAGCAGCAGTACTACTATTGTTGTCTCAGCCTTCTTGTCAACGATTGATATGTATTTGAAAACAAACCACGATCAAGTGCTGAGAGAAATTTTAAAAGCTTGCGCCATCGTTCCAGCCAATTAGAGGCAAAACTTTTACCAATCGCGCTTTGGCCACTTACGTTTCCCCGCGCCTAAGGTCGTTTGCTTTTTTCGCTTTAAGTTCTCATTAAGTTGTTATATATTTCTTGATCTGACGAGCTGTGGTAATACGCCACTCTTTTGCTACACTAAAAACTCACTGAAAACGTTCTTTAAGACAGGAAGTACATTTTTTAAATATCTTATAGTTACATTCTTCTTCTTTAACGTGATTATTATTGCATAAAAGATGCGTGTAGATACATATTAATAATTACTTAATCTACACAGTTTCACATTTCCTGCGTAAATCCATTGGTTATTTTAAATACAGATGAGAGAAATACTCTTTAAATAAAACTAATAACGTGAGTCATTCACTGCTTAAATTCAATCATACTTTTCTGCAGAGAACGAATGAAAAGTGACAACATGGTGCAGATTGCGCACTTAATAAACCGTTGGACAAAATCAGTTATGAAATTTTTGGTGTTGATATCTTATAGAACCTATGTAGTTTACTGTTTGCAGAATAACAGGAACTGGTGAGAATTTCTGAAGCGGTTACCACGCTGAAAGATTCTTACTGTCTAAACCTCTGAAAGATAGATAGTATGAAGTATTAATACGGTTATTCTGTCACCTAACAGCCTGTTGATCGACTCTCGAACCCACCCCTCCATTAAGCGCAACTTTATCTACACTATTGAGGCTTGAGATTCTTCCGAGACTCCAGCTTTCAGAGGACCAGGACACTATCAGGCTACATCAATGTCGATGAGTAAAGCTGTCATGTAAAGAAAAAAGCAAACCGGCGGCGAAACGACCAGAGGTGAAACTCCATTATGGGCCTTCTTGCTTTCGCTCACTGCTACTCCTTTGGTGCTTTTACCTGGATCATTTACATCGTCGCCATCCCCATTGTCTGCATTTACATCTCCATCGCTACTGACGTTATTGTCGTCGTCTTTGGTGTTGTTTTTTTGTGCGGTGACATCTGTTCCATTGGAAACTATTCTGTTCACATGTGAAGATCCTGTTGAGTTGATATACTTCTTTACTACTGCGGTGAAAATTTTTTATACCCATTAACTTTTGATGCTCTATTAGTATGATGATTGTGTTATTAAAAAAGTTGATTTTGAAGATCGTGGTGGGGTGGTGTAAAGCAAAATTGGTTAATTTCATATAAGCGATTATCTTTTTGCTGCTTAGGGAAAAGCAATTAGCTAAATGTATTTTCAACATTTATTAGAGACGAATTCGTCTCAGCAACCTCTACATTAGGCACACCCTTCTCTCAATGATGATGATGAAGGTGAAAAGTTAAATCAATACGAAATTTACACAAAGTCATACAAAGTACAAAGTAATGAAGTCAAGAAAGAGACCAATTTTTCCTCCTCAAGGGGTCTTTGATAGCAGACCACTTTCTTGCAGGTTTCAGCCACGTGCAGTCGCCTTTCTGCACAGAACTGCCTAGACAGGATGTGTGACCTACTTTGTATTAGAGATTCACTTTAATTAACAAGAAAGGCAACAAATACCTGGAGTTAAATTGCAGATTTAAGGTATTTTGGCTAACTCAAATGTCGTATGCAGAGCTAGTAGGGCATAGCTCCCCAAAAGG